CCAAACTGCAAGCCATGTTCCGAAGCACGGTAGAACAAACGGGGAATCGTAGCTTTGTTCAAAGTTTAGACGAGTCCCCATGTGGTGTTGCTTTTCTTATGCTCTCAAAGTCTCTGTGCCATTTCCGTCTCAATTCCTATGTGTACGAACATGAGGTACGGGGCGGGTCATTGGGTCAACGCCAAGAGAGCGTCTAATACTCAATGGCATTTTGTGATTGCTTTCTTGTTGTAGCATCTAGCCATCTACTATGTTCATGAATTGGGCCCAAAGACAAAGAGTACCTACTTTCTTCTACCGCCAGATCAAATCTGTCATACAGTTCCCAAGAAATCAAACGCTCGAAGCTCTCAAAGCTGACGATTTCCATGTAAAATCCCAGATTCTAGGAACAGTGTGAGTGTGTGACGCGCTACCACTAAGAAGGGAACATACGCTACGGTTGCTACTTGCCAAAGGAAAGGGGGGAACGGGGTCCGGCGCTTACGTTGAAGATGAGGTTCTTGTTCTGCGCCTCGAGCGCGAGGCCGCCGCGGAAGTGGACGCACCACACCAGCACCAGCACGGCCGCCACAGCGGCCAGCGCGTGCGCCGCGTACGTGGACGGCGTCGCCTTCACGCCTAGCCCCATCTCGCTCTGCTTCTCCTCCTCCGATCCGCTTCTGCCCCGGCCGTACGGTGGCAGCTCGTGCTCGCTACGAACAGCTCAGGCTGCTGGAGCCTGTACCTGGAGGAGAGCGTGAACTGAGAAGCTTGCGGAGTACGTACGGGCTCCTCGTCGTCGTTTATGAGGGAGAGGGACTGAGGTCTCAGAGGTAGAGAGCGAGTCCTGTTCCGTGTTGTTTCGCTGTGGTTGGTTGGTGGCTGCTGAAACTAGAAGCTGCTGGTGGTGGTGCTGGCAAGGCCGGGAAGGATCCGGAGAAGTGGAGATGGGGACTTGACCGTAAGGTTTACCCCCGACCCGTTCTCATCAAACACCCCTCCCGTAAGAAAGGAATCCTATGGCACGTCGGTCAGCAAAGCCGTTTGTGTACTTTCTTTATTCTGCCGCCCACATTCTTTTTTTTTTAATCTCTGATCGCTTGTGCTACTTGATTTGGCTCAACCTTCCACATTTGCCTGAAACGGGATGAAAACGGATAGGGATATTACATTTATTGTTATATTTCTGTTCGTATTCGAATTCGAATACGGATAATATTAACTATGTCAGATATGATACTATTGGGTATTGACATCGTAAATATGCAATTTAAGTATTCGAATATGGATATGGTATCGGATATTGAATATTCAGACTTGAATATGGATATATCTAAATATCTCTAAATGAATTCGGTTTCGAATACGGTCGAAAAATATCCATACCGTTTTCATCCCTACCGGTGACTATGAGGTGCAGTCGGTCAAACCTATCTGCACTGCAATTAGCGTCCTGGCATGTGGCATCTAATCTTCCACAGGCTATCCGAGGCCCATGTCAGGAGAGCAAGGAGGAGGGACGGCGGGACGCTATTTATCCCGTTCGTTTTGCTGAAAAGTTATGACTAAAAATACTATTTACTAATTTATTGTGAGAGAAAAATACTATTTATTCATTTAGATAGTAAGACGAGCAAACAGGACCCTTGCCTGTGGGCTGTGGCTGCAAACGTGGGCAGGGCCCAGCCGTCCGAGAAAGACGCCGATGCAGGCCAACACGATCGGGGGCCAGTTCACTGTTACTCTGTTAGGATAGGACGCGCACGAGATCCACGAGCTGTCGACCCGTCTTGGCTCTCGATTGGAACGGCAGGTGAATAAAAACCAAGAGTTGTCGTACGTGAGTACTCCGTAGGTTACCTAGACCATAGCCATACGAATTAATTTGATTTTATAGAAATTTCGTAGAAATCATGCACATATGAATTAATTTGATTTTATAGAAAAAACACACGACTAGAATTTTTTTTCCACATTCCAAACATGTCCTTATTGGCTGCGAAGCCTAGATTTAGGGTAGGACTTTTTTTTACACGGTTGTTCAATCTTCAGTTTTAGCTTCAGTTTCCGGCAATGCTCCCACGCGGCGACGCCCCCCATCCACTATGCCTGTACCTATACCGTCCGCATGCGTGCCTTGCAAAATACCGATCCACCCATGCCTGTACCTGTACCGTCCGCATGTGTGCCTTGGAAAATATCAGTCACCGCTCCTCTCTCTCGTGCCTCCCCGCCTCGGCTTTTCTCTCTCGCTGCCTCCAATGCTACTCCTCCCCTCCCTCTCTCTCGCTGCGATGCGAGCGAGCTTGGCGGCCTCAGCGTGGCCTCAGCACAAGCGGGCCACGACGTGGAGGCTCGAGTGACCCTCAACACGGCGGCGCAATGGTGCCGACAGCCCAGTCACGGGCGGACCAGCACGACAAGGCCGACACTAGTGGCTCCCCGGTGGATCTGGGTCCCTCTCCTAGTCGTGCCGGTGCTGCTTCCTTGCTGCGTCACGCCACCAGCCCGTCGCCTATAAGCGCCGCCAGGGCACTATCTCTGGTGAACTCCACGCACCGACGAGCCTCCATTCTCCCAAGCAGCAAGGAGATGTTGCGTTGCGCTAAAAGTACATGTTGCAATAGTATGTTTTAAATGTTTTAGAGGTATGTTGCAAGTGCTTCATACGGATGCTGCAAAAGTAGATCGGGATGTTGCACATGTTGCATATGTTGCAAGTATTTCAGATGAATGTTGCAAAAGTTTGTCCAAAATGTTTAATCTACTTCAGATGTATATTGCAAGTGTTTTGATCTGGATGTTGCATATGTTTCACACATATGTTGCAAGAGTATGTTACAAATATTTTGTCTGTTTCCAGTCTTATGCTGCAGTAAGTGTTTTCATGTTGCAAGTTGCAATTGTTTTATTTGTATGTTGCATATGTTGCACTGGCTATACACATATGTTGCAATTGTACGTTCCAAATGTTTCAGCTATTTCAGACGTATGTTGCATGTGTTTTATCTGGATGTTACACATGTTGCAGTGGCTATACACATATATTGCAAGCTTATGTTTCAAATGTCTCACTTGTTTCAGATGTATTTTGCAGCAAATGCTTAATGTTGCAAGTGTTTTCATTAGCAGGCGAGGGAAGCGAGCCAGGGCGGTCCCTGCACGTGGGTGCAGTCCCCACGTCCAGGCGCAACAGCATGGGCGCACTTCAGCATTCGAGCAGCACATGAGCAGTAGGCGCAGATGCACAGCAGCATGCGAGCAACAACACATGAGCAGCATGCGAAGTGTGTGGGCAGGCATATGGACGCAAGTAGCAGAGGCCCAGGCTTCCACTCCACCGATCGAGAGCCCACCTCGGTCCAGTGTACCCCAACTACTCAAAAAACACAACCCTTCCTCCACTCCCAGTCGCCACTCCATTCCCCACACCCTAACCCTATCTACCTTGCGCAGTGAGCTGTGGCGGTGGCGTGAGCAGGACAGGGTGCGCGACACAGTGGGAGCAGGGCCGGGAAGAGCGTGGCGTCGGCGCGATCAGCCAAGCAAGGAAGGGGCGCGACGCAAGTGCGCGGGGCAGAGCGAGCGGGAGGCTGGAGCGGCACGGCACTGGCGCGACTTTAGAAAAAGGAGTGGCAACTGGTTGGCATCAGCGCAGCCGATTTCCATTAGGCGAAGGCTTGCATCGGCAGGCAGCAGGCGGAGGGGCGCAGGGCAGTCCATCCAGGGGGGGCGACGACGACCAAGCATATCGTTGAGCAGGGGGCACTGACCGGCGGTGGTGAGCAGGGGTGCTTGTAGGGTAGGCTGACGGTGGTGAGCACGGGTGCCGGTAGGCCAGCAAGGGCGGCCGACGGCGCGAGCAGAGGACCAGCCCAACAGATGGACATGCGACACTGGAACATTTCGGACGGTTTGATGTAAACTGAAGTAAAAAACCGGCACCAAATTTATTAGTTTTCTATTTTGAAAAACTGGAGTTTTTCAAAACAAAAAAACCAAATCAAATTTTTGGTTTAGATCGATTACCCAATCCTAATTTGATTTGAGCATAGGGAGGCCGTTTTAACAATACCAACCATAATCACACATCATGAAATGCACACGCGTGCACGCATATTTATTGAGCTGGCAAGAGGGCAACAACCAAACCGGCGCCTGTTTTTAGACACAAAACAAAGATAAAAGTCAAAATGAGACCGAAAATTACGGAGAATGTAGAAACAAAACTAACTAGACTAAGTCTCTAATCTCCTCTGACTAATCTAATTCATAGGCAAGGAATAAAAGAGAGGGGAAGATAAAAGAAAGTTAATGCTAAAGTGTAAGCGCATCAAACCTATTAGTGAGTTATGATGAATAGATGACTATGTATATAAAGAACTAATGATGTTTGATGAGAATTTGAGTTATATAATAGTGTGAAAAGTGCAAATGGAAACGTGAGACCCCTCAAGTTCTAATTCAAAGAAAACTATGCAAAATTGATCTAGGTTCTAGACTTCTAAGAATTTTAATCTATTTCGATTATAGGATTTTAGTGCACCATTAGATAATTAGGGATGTAAACTAAAACATTATATAATTCTATTATAGCAAGCTGGACTCATTTATTTTCTTGTGTTCGCATGATCTTTTTATTGCGTTTGGTACTTTATGTAGTCGTGTATCTATATCTATATGCTACATTTATGGTGATTGAAAATTTATATAACATTAGATCACACTAGCTATAAATTCTGGCTACGCTGTCCAAGAGAGATGAAAACTCATTCAACCTTTTTTTTATTTAAAAAAACTCATACAACCTTGTTATGGGAATAACCCGGATCCTCATCCTCCTCAAGGCTACCTTGGAGGTTCACCCAGGTGGTTTGGTCTATAAATACAACCCGATGGGTCCTCTTTCCCCAGCTTTTCCACGAACACCTCTAACTAACTAATCACGTCGCCGTAATCTGACCAGGTTCTCTGCTAATAATCGAAATCACTTCACGGTAACCTAATAGCCGCTCGCCATGGACTATTGCTTGCAAGTCGCTTGGTACCCCGGCATGGAGGCGATAACCAAGCAATCCAATTTTATCTTCTCGCCTATGTCCCTCAGGGCTGGGCTCGCGCTGCTTGCCGTGGGCACGCAGGGCCCGACGTTGCGGCAGCTGCTCACGTTCCTGGGCTCCGAAAACACGGGCCACCTCGATGTGGCCATTGCGAGGCTCCTCACCAACGTGAGCACGTGGCCACAGCTCTCCTTCGCCGCCGGCATCTTCGTGGACCGCACGCTTTTCCTCACGCCGGAGTTCGTGTCCTCCGCTGTCTCTGCTCACCACGCCGTCGCAAGATCTGTCCATTTCAAGAATCAGCCTGCGGCGGCGACCGCTGAGGTGAGCGCTTTCATCGAGCAGGCCACGGCGGGGCGCATACGCAACCTCCTGTCCGATGGCGCTGTTCACGGCGACACCAAGGTCGTCCTCGCCAACGGCATGCACTTCAAGGCGACGTGGGCACGGAGGTTCGACCCGTCGGATACCGTTCGCGACAACTTCTACCGCCGCGACGGCGAGCCCGTGCGGGTGCCGTTCCTGTCGGACGCTGGCATGCAGTATGCCGAGAGCTTCGACGCCCCTGGCCTGGGGTTCAAGGTCCTCCAGTGCTTCTACAAGATGGTTGGGCGTGACGGCAGGCTGGACTCAAAGGCGCCCTGCTTGTGCATGCTCATGTTCCTGCCGCACAGGCGCGACGGGCTTCCCGACCTGCTGCGCCTGGCCGTCACTGAGCCGAATTTCGTCATGCGGTGTGCGCCCCGGCGCGAGCAGGTAGTCCGCCCGTGCAAGGTCCCCAAGTTCAAGTTCTCCTTCACGTTGGACGCGGTGAACGCGCTCTGCCAGCTCGGGCTGTCCGCGCCGTTCGCCGTCGGTGCCGACCTGTCGCCATAGTTGGCCATGCAGCCCGAGCCCACCGGCCCGGCCCAATTCCCGCTTTTTTGGCCCGGCCCAAGCACGGCCCAGCCCGGCGGATAGCGGGCCCGGCCCAGAAGAGCAGGCCGTGCCTGGGCCTTACCCCAGGCATGTGGGCCGGCACGACACGGCCTGCTACAGAGCCGGCAGCCCGGCCTGCCACCTCCCCCCCTCCTCATATGGCCCCGCGCAGCCCCACGCCCCCACGCAGTCATCGCCCATCCCCGCTCCGCTCTCCCTCTCGGCCTCTCCCTCTCCCTCTCCCTCTCGGCCTCTCCGCTCTCCTCAGAACCGAGCTCAGGGCGCGGCAACGGCCCCTCCCCTCAGAATTGCACGCACGGTGGCGCAGCGCGGCGGCCTCTTCCCACGGCGTCCTCCCTTCTTCCTCGCAGGGCGGCCTCCTCCCCACGGATCCACGCGCAGGGGCGGCGTAGAGTCCTCCTCCCCCTCGGATCCGTGCGTAGGGGCGGCGCAGAGGCCTCCTCCACCTCGAATTTGCACGCAGGAGGCGACACAGCGGCCTCCTCCCCCATGGATCCGGGCGCAGGCAGCGTGCCTCTCCTCCGAGCTCCCTCTCCCTTTTCTCTGATTTGTGTGAATGCATGACTTTTGTCCGATTCCTCTATTTTTCGATTTCTTTTGTGGTGTTGTGGACTTGTGATTGATCCGTGAGATCTAGAGCCCTGTGATTTTTGTTGTTTTTTTTTCGATTTTTCTTACTGGAATGAGATTAACAAGCTTGAGCTTGCCATGGCCATTGATGCTGCGGATCTGCCTTGAGGCCTCCTCCATGGCTCCATGCACCGCCGCCGCCACCGCGCTCCCGTGCTGCCCCTCGCCCCCTACTGCCCCTCCTGTTCTTCCCTTTCCTCTCTCTGATGCCGCCGACGCGGTCGGCGGCCCCCTTGACCTCGACGCCGTCATCGCTTGCTGAAGCGGGCCTTAGGCTGGCCCGGCCTCCCTGACAGGCCGTGCTTATCGGGGCAGCCTGGCCCAAAAAATCGGCCCAGCAGGCCGTGCCTGGGCCGTAGGTGAGGCACGGTACCCGCCTCGGCATGGTCCGGAAGGCACGACGTGCTGTGCCGGCCCGAACCCCATCGGGCCGTGCCGGGCCGGCCCGGCCCGTTGGCCATATATACCTGTCGGGGATGGTGTCAAACATGCCACCCGAGGGGCTCTACGTGTCGGCTATGAGGCAGACGTGCGCCGTGGAGGTCGACGAGGAAGGCACGACAGCGGTTGCAGCGATGTATGCCGCTACGAGCCCGACTTACAGTCCACCGGAGAGACCCCCGCCGCCACCGATGAGATTTGTGGCTGACCACCCGTTCATGTTCGCGATCGTGGAGTACGAGAAGGCTGAGGTCTTGTTCCTAGGCCATGTCATGGACCCTTCCAAGGAGGATTGAGATTGACTCGGCGGCGGCTAGTATTACTAGTTGGGCTCGGCTCTTCGGGCCTCCTTTTCCCGTCTTTCTGGACTATCAATCGTTAATGGCCCGTCTTGTGATACCTTGAGACTTTTGCACTCTTCTTTGGATTTTTTTTAATAAACTTACTCTTCTTTGGATTGTTACCAAACCAGAAGTGTTGCTCCGTTTTCCTCTCAAAAGAAAGCTTTTGACCTTTTGGATTGCTCCCAATTTTTATAAAGAAAAAGTGGCGCCAAGCATAACACTGATTAAAAGAACATGTTTAGATCTATTAGCGCTAACACTCCCTTCTTCAGGCATTGTATTACAGTGCATTCAAGCATTAAAAAATTACACCTAACTATAAGAGATTTTAGGAGACAATATAGTTTTGCATTAAATAGTAGCAAAAATTTGATAGGATTATATTGTCTGCTGTCATTTACTAACTAATCTTCATTAATCACACTAACGAAGTAACGATTGTGTCACGTTAGAAAACGAAGTAAGGGTATATGTGTCTTTTATACTACGTCTTATCTCTTAGTTTGTCCTCAAATAGGTCAGCTAATAGATCTGCTAATACACTATATTATGGGAAGAGCATTAGTGAACAAATAAATAGGTCAGCTAATAGATCTGCTAAATCCCTCTATCCTAGAATATTTGATGTTATATGATTAAAAAAATGTCTCAGTAAACTTGATATTTTAGATCTCAGATACGCTATATGGCCCGCTATAGTCATCCACTGCATTCCTTTTGATAGTTTGATTAACGTAAATAGCACCGCGTGAGAGAAATCGGGCCTGAACGTGTCCCTGCATTCATTTTAGTTAGTGTGTCATATTCCTTAGAGCATCTCTAAGAGTTTTTAGAACCCATCCCAATCTTAATTTTTTTGGGTAAGATCGGAAAAAATGCTCTCCAACAACTCATATCTCAACTCCCAATCCTTCTGCACTTGAAAAAATCGAACTAACCGCACGATAACTTACACACGTGTATCGGTCGGCCAATCTAGAGGTGAAATGATGTGAAGAGAAATTTTAAAAAGGATGGTTCCTAATAAAAATGTACAAGAGAATAAGAGTATAAGAATGGTTGGTGTGATTTGAAAATAATATGTGATTTCTGATGCAAAATTATCTTCTATATTTCAAGAATGAGATTTTAGAAATTGTTGGAGGAACCCAACAAATATGCTCCCAACTTTTTTAGTCACTTGGAAAACTCATTGATTTACCAACTGATTTTTAGGAACTTTTGGAGATACTCTAAGTAGAGCAACTTCAATAAATAGGGTGTCTGAGTAATTTGCAAAAGGTACTAATTATGTCCTAAAATTTTTAAAATATAAAATATTCTAGGATAGAGGGAGTATCAGTTAGGAGGGCTGCTTTAGTCCATTAGTTAGTGGAGGGTTGTTAATAATAATAGGTGCTAATAGTTCATTTGCATCTCGAACCAACTATTCAATCACATATTAGCAAGTAGATCTACATAACTTCCTTGATAATAATTAGCTAGCTAAATACTTCCTCAACTCCAAAATACTTTTGTTCTTGAATTTTTTCAAACAGATTACTGTATATGTTATATGACGTTGGTACCCTTATTTATTAGCCGTGCAGATTTGTTGCTGCATGAAAAGGCCTAGACAATTTTTTTGATACCAAAGAAATTAAAATACAACACTTTCGAAACTGGCCACCGCCTCTCCCAACCACCGCCGTAGCCGCCCTCTCCTAGGAAACTTGCTGAATCCCCTTCCTCTCTCATAATCGGCGATCTCGCCGGTGGACACACGAGAGAGACCCGATCCTTTTTCTTCGTAGTTTTAGATTAGGTTTGCGGATCCTTGTTGATTTAGGATTTGATTCTAGTGTCATCGACGAGGTGGTGACGACGATGGTACTTTGGAATAACGTCTCTCGGTCTCTACTTACCTCGGTAACGTTCGATCTGGCGTCGACGAAGGACCAGTGAGGGTTTAGTCCATCAGATATGTTGATCTTTTTCAGATCTTGGTAGTTGGTGTGCTTATCAAAGGAAGCAGTTGATTGACTTTTGATGCGGCGATCTTCACCTCTTCTTTTGGTCTGTTCTACCACAAGGTTCGAAATCTTCAACACTCTGTTTTGATGGAGAAGGATTGTACGCCTGTGTTCTTTGGAGGATTTCTCCAGCCGCTATTCTTTTAGTGGATACTAGATCTCGTTGTCAGTAGTGAGTGGTTTTTGCGGTCTTCAAAGCCATGTTTGGCGAGAGTGTTTGCAGGTAGCCCTTTTCTTTGCTATCTTTGCAGTGCAATCTTCAAGCTTCGGCAGACAGTGGACGTCCAAAAGAAGAAGCCAACCGATTTGGTTTTTGATGTACTCTTATATATTAGAGGTCGTTTTGTGTCTTTTTGTCCATCATATATCAGATATGAAACACTCTTTTGAGTGTTTTTATAAAAAACATCAAGTTTTTAGACAGACCGAGTAGTTAGGATGTATTAGGTATTAGCTAGGTAATTATTAATACTAGTGGATCGTAACATGGCCTAAATAGCATGAACCATGAAGAGCTCTAATACATTGCACTAGGGATTTCAGCGAAAAGGCTAAAAAAGGATAAGAATATATATGGCGGCAAATATTGTTGGGATGAGAAAGAAAAGCAACTGTTCTTTTTTCCTATGATTATCTCTACAAATTTTTTACTATGGTTGAAAGAATATTGGATGGCTCACGACGAGCGATCCGACGGCTTGAAAGATAGAGCCACCGAGAGGCACCAGATGTGTGCAAAATGGTGGGCCCATAGGCACCGTAAGCCTCCAAAATTGAGGGGATCAGAACCAAAAAAGGAGTTGAATTATAAAATAATGTTTTGAGTAGTAATGTAGTATAGTTGGGGTGGATTATTAAGTACTATAGTTAGATGAATATTTGCTTTCTGGGGGTTCATTCGACCTCACTACACCACAACACCAAGATTAGAGATGGACGGTCTGACGCCAAAAGCGGCTACAGCGACAGACAATCTGACGCTAAAAAGTTATAGCGATAGACTTCTGCAGACGCTGTAAGTCTTGTCGCTAAATTTTTTTAGCGACAGACAGTACTTTTAGCGACAGATAGTCTATTGCCCTGAATATTTATAGCGACAGATAGTCCATTGCTACTTTTTAGCTACAGATGCTCTGTTACCAAGCATATACCAACAGATCATCCAATAATCCATGTATTTATAGCGACAGACTGTTTAACAGGACAATATAAACATACAAAAAAATAAATACAATTTTTAGCACATATGAAACCGATATTCAAGCTTAATATATTGTCACATGTCACATGGAGGTTAATACATATAATATCCAATTTGTCTTATACACCATATTTTTGTGTATATCACATCCAGCAAAGTCAAGCACCAAAAGAATTACATGAATGGACATCTCAGCAAGCAATACTAGTACTTTGTGTTTCACAATCCTAAGGTTTGTGCACACAATCATTTCTAGGAACTCAAAAACCAAAAGAAATGACTTGCTAAAACTAGAGCACATCCATCAAGTTATTTGGCGAATCATTTTTCAGAAACTCAAGCCAAAAGGCTAGTGCCCAGCACTTTCTGAAAAATATAACCATGTAATCAGCAAATGTAGACAAGTTATGTAAAACTGATGTACAATATATATGAGTTATATAATCAGTCAAGTATAGATAACCATTGCCAAGCCATCTAAGCACTGGACCAGACATACTTTTCTTGGGGTAAAGAGGGAAACAATTAGCGCCTAAGTGCGACAACACTAATTATAAATGCCATGAACAACACTAATTATATCTTCACGTCCAGGCTGCCTGTAAAGCACAAAATGGTTTCGAGACTATCTTATCAAACTTTTTGGTCTATTTACTTGGTACAAGACATCTGCAGGATAATGTTTCTCATCTTTGAATTCACACATTGGACTAGAAGATTAAATAGAAAAAATTATAAAGACAATAAAGCAAAATTCAACCCACTAATAATGTTCAGTACAATTCACATGGTTTAGAGACTGAACACTGTAAGCCTTTTGATCGCTGAAGGAAGCATAAACATGTTGGTAAGCTAATGAAAGGACCGGTGCTAAATCTTCTGATAGCTAAGGAAATGAACGATAACTAATTAACTAGCTAATGAAAGCTATATAGTTAACATGTGGAAAAATAAACCCAAGAGCTAATGAGAAGAAATATGCATAGCTGTAATTAAACAATCTAAGCACACTTTGCCAACCAACCAGATCAGAAACAAGCTTTAGGACAAGCTGCTAAAACTGGGTACTGAACCTGCAGAGAACAAAGAGCTAGAAAAGCAACTTGCTACATGAAGCACTAACAAAATTAACAGAGAGGTTAAAAGCTTAGAGCAACATTGCTGTTAAAACAACCAAACTAATGACTAAACAGAATGCAAACACAAGCTCTCTTGCACTATTGGCCAGCACACTAAGTAAAAAAATTGCTTGAATGGAAACTGAAGTGAGCTGCAGCTCCTGTCAACATGCAAAGGACAGGAAAGCAATGGTCTTACCAAAAAAACAATGCTGAGGTTTGTCCTTCTTGTTGTTAGCTTATCCAAGGCCTCGACAGGGGACTGAACTCAACACACCTGAGATGTTTAAATATTGAACAAAAGCATCAGGGACTCATAACAAAAGGAAACTGTTGAAATTTCTACTTCAGCCAAAAAAAGCAAGACCTTATCATGCCATATCTCCAACTTGAATATAATTAATCACATCAAATATATATATATATATATATATATATATATATTTTGTTTAAATTTGGCTGCCTTCATTCACCACAATCCAACAGTTTTTATATGCAGTTTCAGTGTGAACAAAAACAAAAATTGCTAGCTTCATTGTCCACATGAATCACAATAGCAGCAATAGATCTACTACCGACAACATGAATGACAGCAGCAAGCAGACAACGAAAATTACAAGA